CGACCGCGAGGTGCCGCTTACCACCGGACGTAGGGACGGGGAGGCAGGGAGAGGGGGCAGCGGGGCCGATAACGCGACCGCGTGGCCGCGGGCGGCGGTCGGTCGACAGTTTCTCGCCCACTGCAGTGCGCGCCGTGTGTGTCGTGACCTAGCCATGCAGGCAGACCTCATGTCGCCGCTGCAGGCGGCCATCCCCAGCTTTGACTTTCTGGGGGGCTCGGACGCCTGTCTGACGTTGCCCTGCCAGCGGCCGGCTCGGCCGGGCAGACTGAGACCGCCGCTCACCAAGCGACTCAGTGGCTCGCTCGATTCCATCATGACGTCGATCAAGATGGAGCTGCGTATGGATGTCACCGCGCTCAGCGTCAGGCAGCACAGCTTCAACAACCTCGCCGCGGAAACGGTACAGGACTGGGGGCCGCGGGACGGTGGGTTTTTCGAGCCTCCGGGGCCGCGCTGTGGCGTGCGCTGCAGAAGCTGCTCGGTGTTGTGGCTCGTCAAATCGGCTTATAGGTGAAAACTGAACTGTAGCCGAGGCCCATTGTTGCTGGTTGTATTTTTTCAGCTTGGAAATTCACCGTTGTTGCGTGCTGTTTTTGTCTCGTAATTAATGGATTGGGCTTTGCAAGAGTTGTTACCTGAAAGAAATGCGGATGCAGCATGCAAGTGATCACTTCGTAAATGGCTTTCAGCATTTTACAGTCCTTCAGCTATTTTTCGGTGGTCGCTGTCTCGATTTTTGTAGGCATGCCGTATAGCTGAGTGCAGTTAATCCGGCTCCAAGTATACCTAATCCTCCTGTTGCCACTCGCCACTGCTACTGCCTTCCGATAACGGCTAAGCTCCTTCTTTTCTGCCTGCGCTGTCGCTCTCCATCAGACTGAATGCTGGAGAGTCGACCTCCACTCCCGGCCCATCGTATTAAGTGAACCGAGGATGACACGGTGCCACACGAGCTCGAACGTGTTCAATGTAAGCCTGGATAAGTTGAACGAAATTACAGCCGTGTTACATGCCGTTTCACTTTCTTCTTGCACTTGGTATCCACCGTTGCTATGAATTTCAATCCGAAGTCCGAACACTTCTTGCCATGCCCTATAAATTCAATCAACTATAAGTTCAAGCCTATTGTCGGATGAAAACTGAATTCACTCGCATCCTTCTATGCATTTCATCTTGCTGGCACATCACGGCTGATGTTTGAAAGAGTGAAGACTGTGTGCGTGTGGTACCTGTCCCACTCTCACCAAGTAATACCGAACGACTGGTCGGAATCACTCAGTGGCTCATCGAGATCGGTTATCAGGAACCGCCCATTCCCGAATGATCTCAAAATCTCCAGCTCACAATCATCCCGAGTCCACCGTTCTCCACGATCATCATGATCTTCCTAATCTTCCCTACCCTTATCTCCAACCTGATTGCCGGCTGATACGAGATAGCTTCTCCAGCTCGTCGTAGCTTGTGGGTATTGCCAGTTCAATCAAACCATTCACAACAGACTGACACTGCAGTTAAAGCTCACCCAACCACCCGAACCTGATCGAGCCCGATCGAACCCGGCCACCTCGACCACAGCGCTCGTCAGGCCCCGATCGCCCGAGCTGGGACCACGCCCGACCGTGGGCGTAGCCTGATGAATGGGACAGATGGGAGCGCTGATAGGGGGCGTGTCACCTTCGTACGCTGTGGGAGATACGCGGAGACCGCACGAACCGTCCAACCAGTCACGGCATCGATAAAACGGGAATAATGATTTAGATTTGAGGCACTTGCATATAAGATGGGGAAATTTTGGAGTTTGCTTAGGCAGTACTGTGTTCATGAGCATTTAATCGGGTGTATTGTGTGTGGTGTTGACCCTCGTTCCTCATAGCTGTGTATATTCACACGTGACTCGTGGACAAACACCCTGGTTTCATAACACAGCTGAGCACAGTGCTCTGTGACATAACAAAACCTCTCTGACACTTGTTAGCTTTACGTGGCATCAACACAAACGGAGCCGTGATGTTAAACAAACACTGGCGTGAGGCGTCAGCTGGTAGCGTGCGGGTCAGGAAAGCAGAGCGCCTGTGGGCAGACCAGGCCCGGCGCTTTTTACATCGCGGTTGGCGACCGCACTCCGCCCCCAGCGGTCAAACTTGGTGACCTTGAGTCGCCTGGCAACACGGCTCTCCTGGCAACCAAACGACCCAGCCTAAGTCGTTTATTAGCCAAATATAGCCCGTGGCAGGGCCAGCGACCTGGCCGACTCTGGGTGCGTATCTCGCGTGGGCTTCATGATTCATGAATGACATCGAATCTGCAATGCATCCAGTATTCACGCTCGTTAAATTTCTTGCAATAGTCATGGCATGGTTATTCTGTGATGATTTCTGCCAGATAAGAATTTGTTTCATTGAGTAATACGCTGCTGTGGATCGGAGTGGGTTCACTAATTTCTGTCATATAAACTGTTTTTATGGGAGACAGACACTCCCCATGCAGACTGCAGTTTCGGGAACGGAAGTTACCCGGCATGTTCTCTGATGCCAAGCCCAGCTCATGTAGTCTGCCATGCGTCGTTGTCTGTACCGGTCGCAGCTGTATGTGCGAGTGTGGGGGGGGGGGGAGTACATACGTGACACGCCCGTGCATTATGCAGCTGGTGCCGTGAAACCGGACGTACAGCGCCACGCTGACAGGTGGCCCCCGCATACGCGGGTTTAGTCAGTCCGTGGCGACTGGCGGGTGGCGATTCACCAAAATGGTGTTTTGTGTATTTATTTGTGTTTCGTAAGAACTTTATAAGAAATGGAAGACGTAAGCAGCCTTGTGCAGAAGTTTACCATTTAAAAGATCAATCTCTTACGAGTTTGCAGGTGATACCTATCGACGCAGCCATGCCGCGATGATTTAGGTTTTTGTCCATAGATGGCGTTAGCCAATGACGCCTGAGGTTATGCTGTGCCGCACATCACATACAATGCGGGGCACGCCCAGCGTCAATATTTATTTATGAAGGGGAGGGAGAAGAAGAACGTAAGTGCATAACGTTATCTTGTTACACTGATTATTCCTCTTTCCAAGCTTGTTCTGCAGAATCTCAAATTTTGGCATTGAGTGTTGTTGATCATGGGCGGCGGAACGGGGAGGGCACCGGGGCACCGTGCCCCCTTGATTTGGACATTTTAACATTAGCCCTATGGGCGTTGCATGGAAAGAATGGGACCAAAAGTCGGCAGTGCCCCCCCCCCTTAATTGAAGGTGTTCCGCCGCTACTGTTGTTGATGGATCAACAAGATTGGTCTATGGAAAAAAGCACTGCCTACCTTAAATTGTTTGTCGAATCTTCATCAACCAGCCCAGGCGAAATACCAATCGCATTCCTGTGCTATCACATGCCAAACTCCTCACTGATAGGTTTCGTCAACATCGCTGCTCGTTTGTTGCTATCTGAATGTCCACTGCCCCCCCCCCCCCCCACACCTTCCTCCTGCCGAAATCAGCCGCACCCGGATACCATACGATCAGCTCTGCAGTGCATGCGGCAATCTGCATCGCGTGCTTAGCGGGCTTAACTCGTAACCCTTTGATGGCTATTTGCCGAGACAGGAGCGCCACCGATAGGTGGTCAGCACGACCATGGCTGGGGCGAAGTGAACAGAGTTATTTTTATTTATTTCTGTGCATCTTGGTTTTACGATGAGCAGCAAGAGTATTTTTATCCATCTCGTTCTTTTCTCGCTACTCGTTTTCTTCCCCAGTCGTCCTCTCTCTCTCTCTCTCTCTCTCTCTCTCTCTCTCTCTCTCTCTCTCTCTCTCTCTCTCTCTCTCTCTCTCTCTCTCTCTCTCTCTCTCTTTCTCTCTCTCTCTCTCTCTCTCTCTCTCTCTCTCTCTCTCTCTCTCTCTCTCTCTCTCTCTCTCTCTCTCTCTCTCTCTCTCTCTCTCTCTCATTTCTTTCCACCACCTCTCCTTTCCCCATTTCTTTCTTCTGGTAACTTATTTACCTCATCTCTGGCCGTATCCCTACAACACAGGTCCCAGACGAGTTTTGTCTCTCGCTCTCCTCTGTCTCGTGCGCCGACTCCCATCCGGGTCGGAGGCTGCGGTGACCCCGCCGCCGGCAGTTTGGTGGAGTCGCCTCCACGCCGCGTGGGCAGAGGAGATGCGTCGCCTCCCGCCCGGTCCCGGCTCTGTCCGGCCCAGACAGGCCGCTTTTGGAGTAGGACGCAGCACGCGGCCGCCGACGCGGTCTCGGGTCTGGGGCTGGTTTCCGGTGCAGTGGTACTGAAAAGACAGGTCTAAGTACGCTGCGTCTGAGGTCTGTGGTATTTGGGATAGTGCATGATGTTATCTCCTACTACAGGCTAGGTCGGATCATGGTGATCTTCTTCGGTTTATTTTCAAACTTTTTGTTTTAACTTTATAACTTTTGCGCCTTACTGAGCTGCGTTCGGCGAACTGTCGTGGTTTTGTCGGGGCTCGGACCATCGCAGTCTGCCGGGCGCCACGGCACGACGCAGATGTCAATCTTCCGAGTGTGACCGCTGCTTCCGCTCAGAACCGTGTAGGCCGGGCAGAGGCTGTACGGTGAATGCGTGGCCCTCGCAGAGGCTACAAATGATAAATGTTGGACTGGGTTCGTGCGCAACGTCTGATTTCTAGGCCCTCGTTGGCCTAAAAAAGACGTTGAAACCTTGAGGTGCTCTCAAAACAATTTTTCTAGAACGTGTCGAGTTACCGTACCGGTTGCAGTTATGGTCCTCCAGTGACATTAGTGGTCGTTACTTGACAGCTGACATCCTCGTTTTATTAGAAGCAATATATTCACTAACTTGACTTGTTTTCTTTGTAGGTAATGCGCATTGCGTAAACCTACAGCGTGCGAAGTAAAATTGATTTTCATTGTTTTCCCTTATTCAACTCTGTATTTCCACGGGCTCAATATTTACCTGAACTACGTGGTTAGTTTGCACTGAACCCCGCTTAACCTTTTGTATTTTCTACCGTTTCAGATGCCTGACACGCAGTCTGAGCCCGCGGTGGCCCTACCAGAGTCGCCCAAAAATGGGGTCTTCAGTCCCGGCGGGAAGGGCAGCCAAATCTCCAAATTCACCATCACCGCCGACCCCTTATCCAGCTCACAGGTGGGTGCACAGTGGGAGAGATGTAGTTGCTACAGTTCTTTGTCAAATAATTTTAGACGTTTTGGAATGTAGACGTTATTACTTATTACGGTATACAGTGTTAACTTACTATTAAGTTTTAATTGAAATGTGAGCCAATGAACATGTCAATTTGTTTCTTCGAAAAAGTGTCTGAAGTATTTTTATATTTAAATAAACAGAAGCACTGTTGAGCAGATTTGAAGGTAATTATCATTAAATGTTGAATTGGTTAAGCGGAGCGATTCAGTGCTTTTCATCTTCTGAAAAAACACTCTTAATAAAACGGTTAATGTAACGGCCACAACTTTCAACCAACATGATTACTTGAAATCTCCTGTCATAGTCAGAACCATGACTTACCATAACCAGTTATCGTAGCTACTACATTCATGAGAGGCTGTTAATCTCGCCTCTACCCTTCCCAGGTCACAAGCGCCAACAACTCATCGACTCGTTTCGCTGCGAAGCGCTCTCAGCTGATGTCCCGTCAGCTGTCGAGCTCCACCAGCACGAGCTCCAGCAGCGCCGAGCAGCGTCAGGCGTCTCACGACTCCTCCGAGCGGGTGACCGCCTCCTCCTCACAATCCGAGCTGCAGAACTTCAACCACCGCAAGGTGTCGCAGACGCAGATCGGCGGCAGCTCCAACGGCCTCTCCTCGTCGGCAGTGACGTGCGTCACGGCCAGCACCGCCAGCACCAGCTCCCGCGCCGTCAGCAGCGCGCTCAGCTCCCAATCCACCCTCACGTCCACGGCTGGCGTCAGGGAGGTTCAGGCGGGCGCCGCCAGGGCGGCGCTACAGTCGCAGGCCTCGGCCGCCTCGTTTGCCTCGGCCGCCAATGCGCGGCAGCTCGCTAAGAGCTTTGATTCGCTCAAAAGCATGTCCATGGATAAGCTGAAGGACTCGCTATCCATGGAGAAGTTGGATGATCGAGACCTACTCAACATCGACCTGGGCAGTGAGGGTGGCTCCCGCGACCCGAACGTTCAGGTTTTCGAGCAGAAACAATCCTACTCCACCTCAAACAAGAAGTTGGTGACGAATGACTTCAGTGCCGAGGAGGCGACGGCCAACAGTGAGCAGATGACGCACCTGCAGGAGGGCGACACCTCCTACCGGGAGAACAAGGCCAGCTCCGACATGAGGGCCAAGCTGGAGATGAACGGCATCACCGCCGAGAAGGGGCTCTCCACACGACAGGTAAGCACGGCCATAGCTATCTAATAGTGTTATTGTGCAGTAAACCTATAGATATATAAGGTAAGATATCATCCATATAAAATCTCAATCGGCAAGACAACGACAGGAAATCGTAGCTCTTTTGATTTATGGTAGTCCAGTGGCTTTGGTCTTGCGGACTGCGGTTGGGGATATCTTTTTCTATGCGATTTGTGCCACTGCAAGTGAGGAATATTCCGTGTCTGGCAATGCAGCCAACAGAAGCACTTAATAAGGGCTAATGGATGAAAAAATATTGCCACTTTGCAAAGAAAACGAATGGTCCCGCAATGCTACTCATGAGAACGGTACTGTACCATTGTCCGAAGAACGTTGTTCTTTGCTGTAACGGTCACACCAGTAGCACGCATCAAATGCACTGACCTGCTTACGGTAAACCATACCAAAGAAAACACAACGATGAAAAGTAAACATCGTCATCTTCAAACAATTATACAATTGCAATGTAGAATTGCTTATGTAAGCGATGTTAGATTCTGTTCTTTATTGAAGCGGTACGAAAACTCTTGCCTTTGATATCTGGCAGAAGCTCAGGGACATCAAACATCAATACCCCCGAACAGCTAATTTACACCTGATACACTATCATCGCTGTGATACAAGCGCTGCTGACAGCGGTGTGTCCAGCCCAGGAAAAAACGGTTCAGGAAAGGTCGCCCGCCGGTAATGGTAACGGTACAGCGGCATGCTCCTCGCGCACGTCTTCTCAATGCCACACGTGTGCTGATGTTGAAGGTCGCAGCGGTGCTACAAGAGGAGGGGGGGGGGCTGGAGAGAGAGGTACGGGTTACACGTGGGGTAAACTGGCGTCTATTACTTGGAGATGGTAGTGGTCCTAATGTGGCATTGTAATCAAAATTGTCCTACAGGTGATGCATGGATGTGCTATCGACACTGAGAGAAAGGCAGACTAGACACCATGCTGTATAGGAAGACGTACCATCGTTGTTAGTAGCTGGAATACCGTTCGAGATTGCGGAGCTTATTCGAATCTGACGTGCCTGCACTCCCGCTAAATGATTTTTATCCGCCCTAATCTCCTGAACGAACCACGAATCGTACTCGGCATACGGATTTACAGTTAATGATCTTATGTCATTGTCTTTTAGCTTTACACCGTATGACGTATCCTTATGAACTTGTGTTAACCAGTTAGCTCTTGAAGCGTTAGAACATACCTTTTCACATGATAGTTTGCTGTTTGTCAAAATTTTGATTTCATTTGCTAAGCTTTTTTAAAGATAACTGGATCACATATAAAAATTGATGTTAGAAATGCATTGGCTGCTACTATTGCGCTTAGTTCTATACCAGGCCTCAAGGCGTATATCTGGCTCAGTTTTGATCAAGTGTCTCTAGGCCTTGAGAGCTGCCTGTAATTCTGAAGAAGCACCAGTTTTATGTCTGAACGACGCGCCACAAACTGAAGCGTCTACAATTACATCTCATAGACAGAACTCGGTTGAACTTCAGGCGATAGAGATGCTGCTGTAGCTAGCGAGATTAAATCTATCGCTGCCCTGCACCTGAGCCGATATGACCCGTGCTGACCCGCTGTGACCCGTGCTGACCTGACGCGGTCACCGGTCGGGCGTTGGCCGCTCGCCGGTCCGGCGGATGGTGTGGCGGTGGCCGCGCCGGCGTCGGAATCGATACGCGACGGCGCCGACGTTCCTCCGACCAGCAGTGTGGTGCCGGGGCCCGCGGCGCCGAGCCGGGTCGGGCCGGGTCGCGCGCTCTCGGCTGGGTGCATGTTCGGTCCGGGCAGTCCTCTGCGTGTACTGGGCGGTCGCCTGCGAGGGGCCCGCCGTGCCCTCAGCGGGGATCGTCTCACAGGAGTGAAGCCGACGGCGGCGGAGGAGACCCCGAGGGCGGGAGAGGGCGGAGAGAGCGAGGTGAGGCCGAGGGAGAGAGCGAGGGGAGGTCAAGTGACGGGGCGCAGGGAGTGGTAGATCGGCTGTAGCGGTCGGCCGCTGCGGTGACGTGAAGATGTCTCTAGAAACCTCCAGAATGCGCGGTACGCCAATAGGGAAGCGACTGTGGTCTGCAAATCTGGCGAGCAGCGGGTAATGGGCAGTTTTTGCGCTGCGGCATGTCCCAGCCTCTCCCAGCGATGACCACACCGGCTGGTAGGAATTTGAGGAAACGGGTTAATTGGATGACATACATTGCGACAAAAAACGTCTCCATATTACCATGTGTTATCAGTAACCTTGTGACTCGGGCTACATTTTTATCCGCGCAGTGATTTGAGATCTTTAGATCATTCTTCCAACGGCTATAACCGGTTAAATGACGTGGCCTTACGCGGGCTTAGCCACCGTATCGTCTCATTGCGGTTAGGCCATTTACCTAATCAGCGACGACAAGTACGCGGCGGCATGAAATGTTTTGTTACGGGCAGCGCATCCACTTTACCACTCGGTATGGTTTACGACGGTAGGGGCGATGCGTGGGCGACCGTCTTTACGGCGTGACCTCGACAGTGTGCGGCGGCGCTCCAGCGCGAGCTGCACAGCCGGATCCGCGGCCGTGGTGCATAATTAACGTTCCCTTCTGTCCGCCCCACACCGTAACCGGTAACAAATGTCCCCTAATGTCGGCATAAATAGCGCGGCAGCATGCCCTCAGCGATGGGCACGGAAGCGCAGGTAATGCCGTGTTTACCCAAGTCAATGAGGTACCCCGACTGCGCCCCAGGTATACACAACATTTGCCGACATTCCACACCTACGCAGTCCTCACAGCACACGCCAGCCCCGCAGCTGGGCCTGGGTCGCCGCGCAGATCTACTCTCGTTAATGCACTCGCGTGTAGGTCGTCGGGCGTGGCACGCGTATTCTGTCGGCGCCACCGACAGCTGTCCTCGGCGCAGGGTTCGAGGGCTCGCCTCGCCGCTGGCTTTGGCGGCTGTCCTCGCCGTCCTCGCCTCAGATTGATCCACGGCTTCGGTCGATAGAAGAACGCCCGCTGCCAACTCGCTTGCCAGGTTTCGAGAACTGCACCAAGTCGACCTGCCCAATTAACCTTCAGGTTTCTTTAGTCCGATGGTGAAATACCGGGGTTATCGGCAATGTTGAGTGTAGGGCTTTAGTTGGGCATTCCATCTTTTGTTGTTCCTACACCGCTCTTGTGTGGCACTCTTTCCTCTCTCGCGACTGTCTTTACCGCCATCGTCTCTCACGCCCGCCCCGCGTCGACTGGTGGTGTTTGCGTCCTTCGCAGCTCGATTGCTGTCACGATTGATCGGGAATCGACCGGACGGGCGCGGTGATCGGCCTCTCTTCTCGCTCGCCTCAACAGGAGATGGCCTTGCTACACCACAAGGCCTCTGTAGCAATCGGAGCGTGCGTTAAATATTTACTTTGATGAGCCGTAACGTGACGGGAGAGACCGTGACGGCTACCGTAACGTAACGTGACCGGTGGTGGGGGATGCAGAGGAGAACGAAGGAACACGTGCCTCTAAAGGAGCTTGACGTCAACAAGAGTTGTGACTGGAGTTGAAACGGCGAAGTTTCACGCAAGCTTTAAGTTCTGGAAAATGGAAGTTTCATTAATCAATAAACTTAACAGGATCTCAACAAAAGTATTTATGTCCCAGCCGTTCACGATTTTCATGCTTATAATAGTTACATTTTAAATGATTTTACTTTGATTTATTGTAATATTTATTAATTATTCATAAATCATAAACATGCACAACATTATGTTGTGGTGGCTGAAGAAGCGACCGCTTCAGCAAGTTTGCCCAATGGCAGGACAGCACTCGGATTTCCAGACTATGCGGCACAGCATACCTTCAGGCGCTTACAACTAGTGCCATCTAGTGACGCAATTATCAGCAATGCAGTACGGTTTAGTTCAGGCGTATGCCCTATCGTTCATCAAGTTACAGTGGGTACGTTTTATGGAATGCCGTTTTTACTAAATTTAGGCATGAGTGACTGCTAAGCACAATTCCATAAAGGCCCACCAAGGAAATACCAGCCTGTCGGCTTCGTAGACGTGTGAGTAGCTGTGCTAATTAACTAAATAGCCTAGCGTCATCACTCGTAGGCAGGTGCCTGCGTGCCTACATTCGTTCATTCTTATTTCCATAAACGCTAATCTAAGCTTGTTATTGCTGTTTCAACTTGTTAGTGCGAAAAGGCTCACGGGACAGTTCGATCAATGATCGCAATTCTCGGGGACGTTCGACCTGTGTTCGATCGGCTCACTGAGCGCCGCCAAAACAGCTGGCGAGGCTCACGATAGCTGAATATCGAACCCATGCCAAATGGTGAGCTCAGTCTCAAACAGAAATGGGATTCGAGGTAAACGAATAGGTGCGTTATTTTATCGGAGCGGTATTGGCAGATAGCAGCAATCGTTGTCTTTTCGGAAATGGGTTTTTTGTTTATAATTGCGCGTGTGTCAAGCTGATCTTCTTCAAGCTGAAAACAAACGCATTGTCGTATTTCAAATGCGTCGAGGTATCACGTGCGTGGTGCACTCATTTCGTAAACGATCAATTCCTAAGGGCAAAGTACGTACCTATATTTTATCATAGTACAAAGAACTAATTGTTTAGCCCAAAGCCCTTGGCTAAATTTATACTTTGGGTACCTTCACTTTATCCCAAGCATAACTTAAGTCTTAAATCATTTCGGATGCCTACATCTTAATTCTCTCGAATCTCTTCTCGGCATCTCGTGTCCTCCGCCCACTCCGCACCTCTATCACACATATATCTGGCGTCATTAATGGGAGTTTCATCACCGTTCGGCGCGATTATCAGGCTGCGTGGGCTGCCTACACCATCCGCCACCTATCGCCCTCGCCGCTCCTTCGTCAGAGCTGTGTAAACATCTCGCCCACGGCCACTGCCGACCTCAGAGTCGCCGCCCGTCGCACCCGGCACCATCACAAGTGCCGCCGCTCGTCACGGACAGGGGTTTCCGCTCTTCGGACACGAAAACA